GTCAATACCCCGATGTTTTTTTGCCGTGGAGTTTACCGCCAGAGAAATTACGTACAATAAAAGAATTATGAAAAATGGAACTTAACAACGAGCACATACGATTATATATATATATGAGTAACATGTATTTGATCGCGCGAATCCTCTGCTGTCTCTATCGCATGCTCGCGAATAAGCCTCTCTCATGACGGCCGTCATTCATGTAATTTTGCATGTATGCAAAATCCAGGAAGAATACCTGCAAAAACCGATAATTAAACTGTTGTATCTGTGTGTTCACGTATAACGCACACAATACAAAGGGTATACGACGGCCGTGTATAAGTCGCGTAACACGATTCTTTTCACTAGCCGATATATTTTTACCGTAATAACATAATGTATGCGAACTATACAGAATATTTAGAAAGAAAGGTAATTTGAGAGAAATATGATACGATAATGCAAAATTATTCAACTTTATCATTCGCTGTAAAATAATTTGCTTGATGAATAATAATTTTTTAAAATTATTTTTCTCAAAATTATATTTCGCAAATCAACATAGACATGCAAGTTTCTATATAAAATTAATTACACTATATACACATGTACGTGTTATGTACACATACACATGTTTATTTAAATATGATTATATATATTATTTATTATATTTTATTAGTTTGTTATATGTATTATATTCGCGTTTATTTAAATTATTGTATAAAATAATTAGAAAAAAGTTTCATATAGAGAGCTTAAAATTTCGCACGCGTGTGTATAATGCGCTTCTTCAAGCTGAACAATCAATATTTCACGAAATAAATATTTTGATTATATTTTATCATATCGATGAACGCGAATTTCGGTACAATATCGCGAGAGAATTGTCCTCGATTCGAGAGTTATAGATTGGTCATTGTAGAAATACAGTCGCTGTTTTTCAAACAAACTGCAAATATTGAACCGATCGTACTGACAAGAAAATATAATACAAATTTTTTTAAATAATTATCTATATTTTATCTCGATTTGTAAGATTTTGATAAATCTCGAACTCGCTGTAAAATAATTTGCTTGATGAATAATAATTTTTTAAAATTATTTTTCTCAAAATTATATTTCGCAAATCAACATAGACATGCAAGTTTCTATATAAAATTAATTACACTATATACACATGTACGTGTTATGTACACATACACATGTTTATTTAAATATGATTATATATATTATTTATTATATTTTATTAGTTTGTTATATGTATTATATTCGCGTTTATTTAAATTATTGTATAAAATAATTAGAAAAAAGTTTCATATAGAGAGCTTAAAATTTCGCACGCGTGTGTATAATGCGCTTCTTCAAGCTGAACAATCAATATTTCACGAAATAAATATTTTGATTATATTTTATCATATCGATGAACGCGAATTTCGGTACAATATCGCGAGAGAATTGTCCTCGATTCGAGAGTTATAGATTGGTCATTGTAGAAATACAGTCGCTGTTTTTCAAACAAACTGCAAATATTGAACCGATCGTACTGACAAGAAAATATAATACAAATTTTTTTAAATAATTATCTATATTTTATCTCGATTTGTAAGATTTTGATAAATCTCGAACCTTGCTATTCGATCGGAATGTAACAGCATACTGGACTCGTGATTGGCAGTTTGCGCAAGTTTATTTTCCTAGATACATATACTGCACTCTGTTGGAAAATACAGTTTATTATTGCCGCAAAAGCAAATGCACAGTTGCCGCAAAAAGCGATATATTTTTCGCGAGAATTTAGCACAGTTTCCCGTCGTGTGATGACACATCGTTATTAAAATGTTTTGAAGGGAACGAAACAAACATTCTGTAGCGTTGCTTCGAGGCATATTTATTTCTTCTTATTTACTCATCGATTTTCCTCGCACATCAATTCTTTAACTGATTTAAAAAAATAATTATATATATATTATTACTGCAGACATACGTATGGTGCGTTTCTCGCTGCAAAAATTGTACTTTTCCGCGTTCCTTTCTTTGAAAATCCAACCAATAAAACCATTCGGACGTTGAGAATGAAATTGGCGGCTAAGAAGAAAAATCTAGGTGCTTCTACGACGATCATCCGGCCGTCAATTTCAATATTACTGCTCGCCGCGGTATTCGCAAATAAAGCGGACGGGAACGCCAGTGGAGGAGGTTTAAAATACGGCCGTCTTTAGAGAACGGAAATGCTCGGTTTACTCGCGACTGCGAGACTCTGCGCGCGAAATGGCTTTCCAGCGGCGTAAAAACCAGCCAAGCAAGCCAATCCAGCTTTGAAGAACAACTGCAACGACTGTTGTGAAAAAGCAAGTACAACTGCAGTGCGGAGCCCTCCCTACTGCGACTATGTCGTGGTTCTTTCTTTGTCGCGCTTTTCCTCGTCTCCACCGCGGAGAGTTCCCTAGCCAAGTTCGATTACTTTGCTTCATGAAAATCATACGTCTTGGTCGCTCATTAAGATCGTAAATAAAAAAAAACTGTACTCACAAATAAAGTAGGTAATTACTTTAACTGATTTAATTGTTCGATAATAAATTGTTATGAAGAATTATATCAGCAAACTATATAATATCTTTCGCGCTTATTCACGGAATATATAAATTATATATCGGAGATTTTTCATAACAGAGGGGTATATCCCCAATTTTTTTGAAAAATAAAATTATTTAAAATAAGATATTAAAATATTATATATATATATCTTTTTAAATGAGGTATTAAACGAAATATTAATATTTCTAATGCCTTTTTATCCAAAACGTATAAAAATTGCGTTCTTATGCATCAAATTCGACTATCAAAACATTTTTCCCGTTCCTGTAAAGTTGCGTATTTGGTTTACGCTCTTATGTGATGAAAGCCTCGATATGATATATATATAAAAAAAAAACGATCAAAGAGAGAATGTGAATTTTTAACTTTCATGCACTACTGACGTAAATCCAGCACGTAAATCCAGAGAGTGACAATGTAACGCGTTTAACGCGGGTTCGTGCCTGTAGTGTAGGTGCGTTACAGAATAAGTAATTTGCGACGCACAATGGTTCTGTGCGCGCACGAGTGTATTCTTATTGCTCAGGGGATGAATTTGAGCGAGGGATGAACGCTGGGAAGATGGTTGTTGACACAGCCAACGAAACGAGACGAGGGATGCATTATCAAGCGCCGAAATACGGGGCTCGGGCCCCTTCCGCACGGTTCTCCCGTTCGAGCACGCACAAAATGGGCTCTTACCCTTGGCGAAGTGCAAAGCGGATGCGTATTGACTCGCGACGGTTCTGTAGACCAGATTTCGCATGGGGCGCATACGTTCTCGCGTGAGTATGCGCTATAGAATTAAACACCGTGTGTCGGCAAACTGGTTTCCCGTCCCGTGCCGTTAAGATGTATACAATAGTCATCGTCGCGGATTCTTAAGAGCGTTAAGAGCGTTTAGATGAATTTCCGGAAACGGTGATCAATTGAAGCGACTGTTAAATGCGGAATTGTCACAAACGATTTTCCTACCATTTTGTTTATATTTAATTCTTATATTTGGATTTTCTGGAGCTTTTTCTACGATATTTATTTGTTAACGTATTACATACTCGAGTAATTAGATGATATCTCTGAATTGAGACTTTCTTAAAACAGTGCCTGAATATTATTACAATTGATTTCTGTGCAACGAAAAAATAACGGGAATACACGGTTCACGCTCGAAAACGCTCGCGGATTCTTCGGTAAAGTGGAAAATGATTTATATGCATGCAAGATTAACACGGCGTAAAGAGAGTTCCTTGTTATGCAAGCTGAGCTGCGTTTAAGCGGATTTTATTAAAAATACCTGGGCTAAAAAGATCGCAAAAGGGTAGGAGATTTCTCTTTTTTTTCCCCTTCCCTTTCTCCGGCTACTCTTTCACTTTTGCCCGGAAACGCGCTAATGTAATCCGGGTCGGTGATGATGGTAAAGAGAAAAGAGAAACACTTGATGACTTTAAAATCAACGGGAAGACTGACTGACATCTGTCACAAAGTACAAAAGAATGAATTATTCTTTTGATATATCTATCACGTGCGCAATATTGGTTATTTTCATGCGTGCGAATTGATAATATCAAAAGATAGTCATTTTATTTCGCTGTTATTTTAAAATTTAGTTTTTTCAATTCTGCGAGTTTTAATGCTAATAATCTGCAAATTAATACAATAATCTAAAATATTAATAACTATTTTATCTCGATAGAAGAAAAAGATACTTTGATTACGTTGTAGTCAATGACTAACATTTTAATCAAAGTTTTGTTTAAAAAAAATCCATAAATTTCACTTTTCTTTTTCTTATACGTTTTACTCGATTATCTTCGAGAATTATATCTGGTGTCCACTTTTTCTCCAAGTTGAGTTGCTATAACGAAACGTTTTGATACTAACAAAAAAATGAGCTTGTCAAAGAATCATTCTTGTCAAAGAACAATTCTGCTCTCTTTGTTTCTTTCTTTCTTTTTCAACTCTTCTGGGGTTTTAATTTGTCGTGCAACAGCCTGTATCGCTCAGCCTTATGAAACTCGAGTAGTTTTTCCTAGCACATGGTTGCGCAGCAAAAAGAAACGGACACGCGCTGTAAATACACGAAAGAAACCTCGAAATGGGCGGCATACCGCGAGTGTACTGCATATGAAAGAAAATCGTCGTTTTTCCCAAGTGCTCGTTTAACGAGTTCCCTCGATCTATTCTCCCCAACAAAGTCATTTTGTTATGCGCATAATTAAGCATTCTATTCATAAGTTTTTTTTACAATGTGTGTAATGACGTAATAATTAAATAACGTTTCATGTAAGGATCAAATAAAACTAGAGTACATATTAGAGTTACAATTATACAAACTGTCAAACGGATACCCGTGGAGAATAGGAACCTTGTCAACATACTGTCCAGGAACAGAGTTTCTTTACATGGTCTAGAAACTTAACATTGTTGGACAGTCGTGCACTTACTTGTAAGGAAGAAGCACCGCTGTGAAGTTGATGGCAATGGAGACTCGCGGGCTAGAAGTGATCAGGTACCGGCAACGGATGTTTGGCGGATACAATCCCGGATATCCGGGACTGGCTAGAACGCATCCGTCATGGCAATCCGTATCTTCATACACAGAATCGCATTCTGCGAACAAGAAACAGGAGAAGATGTCAGTAATTCAAAATTCCAGTTCATCTCTTTCTTAATTTTTACATATATAAATATATGATTCTATCAAATTAATTTCATCGTCAAAACAATTTCACTTCTCTATAATACAGAAAAAATATATGAAAAAGAGATTTTATTATATTTATTTTTTTCAATTACAGTATTAATTTGGTGATAAAGAGATGTCAGCAAATAAATGCGTATTTTTAATAACAATAATAATAATAATTTTTAATATTAATTAGAAGTACTTTAATATTAACTCAAATATTTATATATTTTTTCTCATTGTCAGTGAAATTTTTGCTATAAGTTTATTAAGGCGGGTAATCGACGGTTGATAGAGAGAGTACGTCGAACGGCTGTCAGTTAAACAATTAAAGCAACGATCCATCTCAATTTTCAGCAGCTCGACAGACGAGCTCGAATGATTTGCAAAAGATTGAAAATAATTAATACGTCTGGCGGCTGCATGAAAAATTCGAAAAGTGAAAAGTAATTAAACGCGTCAACAGCAACACGAATGACTAAATAAAACGGGCTAACGAGATGCCTAGCATCCAGCTCGTATGATTTTCAATTAATATTTTCGAGAATCGGCCCGAAATACTCTACCAACTATATCGAAATATGTTATAGATTATTCGGTATATACGACCTGTGTTACCAATTTAATCACGGGCCACGAATCCCCAGCATGCGAGCAGTTTGCATTTCCGCTTCGATGATAATTTCTCTCTCTCTATGCAATATAATATAAATCATATTGCTATTTATATAAATATAGGGATTGTGTATGTGCTAAGATATTTGTAAAAGGAAATAATTGCTTTTTAATAATATGTATAACGTCAATTCTTAAAAATATCAAGAAAGACACGCACGCATTTATAATCCATTAATTTTTTACAGATTTTTCAATATATGTAGATCAAGCATCTCTCATAAATAAACATTATGACAATAAATCAAATCTCCGTTAACTATTGATAGCCCCCAATTTTTCGTTAGCGATTTATATGATTTATCGCAAGTCGGGATATCCGTTATTAAACCAATATCCGCATTGTGCGAAAATATTGAAGTTCAAAGCTGTTTTCGAATAGGCAAATCAATGCGTCCGCGACGATTATTGTAATATCCGAACGGTGATTGACAATCCGTTACGCAATTCAATTATTCCACTTTCATAACGTATGCAAACGCGTGATTTCCATAAACGTATAATGAACTCCTATTTATTACTGCCAGCTGCATGCAAATACGAAAAAGGCATTAATATCACTTTAACGTCATAGCGACACATGTGGTTTGTTTAATAGACACTTTTATCGTACTGCAAAGACTTTTGACATGTTACCGCGCGCGCGCGATTCTATTTGCGTTCTGTTTCAGCAAACGGTGTATTTTTTTGCGCGCATGTTACGGTAGATCCATTATAATTTTTTTTTCCAAGAAAAGAACACTCTTGATTGTGTACCACCCTCTTAGTGCTGTTTGCTTAGCTTTATAATTCTAGCGTATGCAATCATCATAATAGCTGGGCCCATTAAGTACGAAGCGTATCCACCTTCGGGCACATAGTTTTCAATTAATAAAATGCCCTTTGCATCTTCCATTTCATTTTACACAAACTCTTTGTCCAGCGCACAAGCATTTTTGCCATAAACAATCCCGTTTTTTTTTTGTTTTCTCTCTTAAAGCGCATAATTTCCTTCGTTTTTCATTCCCTTCTGTGTTCTCGAAGCGTTGTTTTCCGTTTAGAGAACGGATCTTGTTTTGTAGTATTGTTTGAAATTCTTGTAACTGATTAAATTAACTAAAAAAAACACAATAGTGAGCAAATTATTTGATAACAAGTACAAGCTAGTGCTAATTTTTTAGATACGATTCGATCAAGTCGGATGATAATTGGACCGTACAGTTAACGGACATCAATTGTTTAGCTTTAAAAAAATTCCCGAGTTCGTTAATTGTACGTGTAATTGAAAGAGTATTGAGTTTAATTATCCACGCATTAGTTTGCTCGAAAAGTTGCCTCGTTAGCGCGGACAAGGCTCAAACGGGTACACCGGTAGTTGCGTTAATGACATCAAAAGAAAAGTTTCACGACGTTGTTGCAGGATATAAATATAACTAGAACAATATAAATGTTTTTCATCGACTATACCACATTCTCTCTTATAATAGCAAATATATATCTATCAATATATTTAACAATATTAATAAAATATTTTACATGATTTGACAAAAAGATGAACTTTAAGGAAAAATTAATTTTTCAAGAATGATATTCTCCATTACTTTGAAACAAGACTGTGGAGCGCTTCAAGTAAATAAATGTGAAAAAACATTTTCTTTATGCGTGTTAAACATCGTCAGTCAATTTTTTATAAAACGGGCACAATTATCGCGGTGGATAAACGCCGGCAGAGAAACTCACCTCTTGCTCGCGCGTTTAAGATCGCAAAGGTGAAATGCTTTAATGCGGTGACAGAAAAGAGGAGGGAAAGTGAGTCTATGTAAATGCCCTCACAAGACGCGCGAAGACTTTCTTTCGCGGCGCGTCGTAATAAACCCGAGACGGAAGCGTTGCGCAAGGAAAAGAAAAAAAAAAAAAGAAAGGAAAGGATGTTTTTATTCCTTCTGCGCGCAGTTTCCACGCGGAGTTCTCGCGATTCGACAAAATTTTTCCATGGAAAACGGGGAGCAGAGGGGTTCTCCCCTGTTTTATTTTCGCTCTATTCACTCGTCGAAGAAACGCGCGGCGCGATGAGGCGGGAAAGCCACGAAAATTGCATAGGCGTTTGTATGCAGGAGGTAGAAAAAGAGAAAAATAAGCAACGACAAACTTGCAATAAACGCAATTAACTTTTCGACGAATGTCGGTTTGTGAATAAGAGCTCGCGCGCGCGAGCTTTTCTCACATGAAATTTAAATTAAAAGTTTTTTCACAATTTTGTCTATCCAGTGTCCGTTTAAAATCTAATTAGACAGAAATTAGCGTTTCCACATTCTGACAAATATTAACGTAATTAACTACGGCTATAATTTCGTGCGAACAATTTTTACGAAAATTCGCGGACGATCGTTGACCGTTTGACGATACATTTTGTCTTTTAAACGGACAGTAATATAGGAAATCGTGGGAGAACACGGTGAAATGGCGCATGAATATTCGTCTGCGGTGATATTCGTCTCGTATTTCAACGCGAATGTTTGCCGACACGTTTTACTTGCCGGATGGATATTTGCGAATTGGAAAATTAGACGATGCTTGTGTTCCTGTATGTTATATACTATTGAAATAACATGTACAGAGGAGCTATATCGCTAACATTTAATTATAAGTTTATGAAAAACATATTTGAATTTATTAAAATGTAATTTAAACAAATAGCTATTTATTTATTTGAAATCATATATTCCTCTCAGCTTTTCTCTGTTTCTGTTCTTTTTCTCTTTCTGTATTAATTTTCGTCATAACTTACTGATAATTATGAGAATAATTTATAATGCTCTTGATATATTATACATAAATAAGTCAAAATCTACTAGAATTTCAGTAAAATCGTACGTAAGCGCGCCAAGATCTGTGCTGGAATTTCAGTGGAATAATCCATCTTAAATGCACTAGCTAAGAGCACTTCTCTTGTAAGTGTAGTTTACGTGATCGTGCGATTGTACAAATAGAAGGGAGAGAAATAGAGTGACCAAGTGGTAGCACAAGCTTGTAGATTGGTCGGGTTTCTTACCGGGTTTCAACCGACCGCTTTGTCAATCGAGCAACATCTACTTTATCTTTCGATCCCTTACATTTCTTATCCGGAGATGCCCAGTTCTACCTCTATATTGATCTGATATCTTAAATACTTTCTAGTCTAATAACGGAGCAGATAAATAAATGCAAGAAAATTTTAAAATAATTAATTTTAAAATAATTAATATAAACAAATCAAATTTAGTTTAGTTTAAAGACAAAAATATTTTATATATAAATGTAGCTCATTCTTTTATAATATTATGCATAAAGAATCATCAGCACACATTATTCCCAAAAATAATATTCTTTTTAGACAAAAAAATCCTTTCATCACTATACAATAACTCTCTCTCTTTCTTTCTCTTTCTCTTCTTATATAAATCACCTCGGTCAGTTTCTTCCGAGCGGGTGATAAATTCGAGAGCGGTAGAGCCAACTTCCCTCCTCCAGCGAGAGCGCGCGCGCGCGCGGAGGGGTGCGTAAATGCATGTGTGGGAAAACTGAAAGTGCGAGAAGGAGAGCTGGAGCCAGATCGAGCGGTAAGACTGCGGATCGTCTTTCCACCCACGATTGATCTGTTTGTCAATCGGGCGGCGCCATCGCCCCTTCTCTCTTTTTTCTCTGTATATAAACGGGCTGCCTTTCACTCTTCTCTCAAGAGCACACTCTTTTCCTCCTACACTCCATGTCCTTGCCCACCGTTCGTGCCTTTCGCACGTTTCCCAATAGGACGAGGGTCGGGACCGTGTGCCAACGTCAAAAAAAGACCTCTCTCATCCGGATGGCGGAGTGGCAGTCACGTTTCCCGGTCGTACGTACTGCGCATATGGATTGCCGCGGCCTTCTCTTCGAGGATAATCGAGAATCGTTGTCGTCTCGTTACAATCTCACCGTGCAGAGGGATGCTTTCAAAGGGGTCTTTGCTTTTACCGTTGTTGCGCGAAGATCCGTCTTCGCGCTTCTCGCGTTTTCTCGTCGCGCTCTTTTAACACGCGATCTTTCCAGTCGCTCTGCCTCACGAAAGAAATTGCTGATTGCTGTATTACACGTTATCTGAGATTTACGAGACGCGTGATCATTGTACGATCGTTCAATGGCGCGTTTAGGATACTTTGAAATGCGCTGGTTCTTTGTAATATATCGTCGTAAAATCAAATTTATGTAATAAGCAAATCTAGAGAAATTGAGAAAGAAATATGTATTAATAAATATGAAAATTCCATAAAAATATACGTTATAAAAATAGTTCCCTGTTTTCTTTTTCTTTATAAATTTAAAGCTAATAAATAATAAATACCAAAAATAAATACATCCGATTAAGCGTACATAATTATAACTTACGCACACATGTAATATAAATGTTATAAAATAAAGCTGAGAGAAAAAAATGTGCAAGCTAAGTGCTTTTTTCAGCATAATAAGAAATAAAATAATGAATGCGTTCCTGCATATTTTTTGTTCTTCGCAATTTCGGCGTTGGTTGTTTGCGAATGAGATATATGTTTCCCGGGGTGACGCGGCAGGTCAAAGAACTCTGGTATGTCATTACATAATATTACTAGACACGAAAGTTCAAGATACATATACACAAAACTTTTCTCATAAGAGCGTAGCGCAATTTTTTTAAAAGGGCTTTTCAATTTTCTCTCCAACTTACACAGCATAGCCACGAAAGCGAAAGATCCACTGTGTGATTAAATAGTAGTCAATAATCGATTGTAAATAATGCAGATCTCTATAAATAATGCATTCGTATCGTTAGGAAAATTTATAATGAAACATAAATTCAATTTAAATTTCAAACTGCCTATCTTGCACTTGTCTGATATTTTTCACTAAGGAAAGTGTCGGGAGTAGCATCATAATATTTTATCTTAATCATTTCAAGATAAAATAATTGATTTTTACGACGTAGTCGATCACAGCGGAGATTAGAAATGCGTTTCAAGATAGAGATCGCGCAGTCGTCCCGGGGAAGGATCGATACTCGAGATTTAATTAATTTTAGATCACGATTGTTAAATAGTTTCGAAGCCAAATAGTTTTCTATCTTCGTTTAAAGCACGGACCGCACTTAAGCTCGTATAATTTTCGCTCTAACTAGATAGAAATTACCCTTCCGCGCTTTTGCAAGTAAATTTATGCATTTCTTAATTACTCTTTTTTTATAATTTGCTGATCACATCAGCCCGATTTCAAAATCATTATCGCGAGCGAGGGTATTCGAAAGCTATGTCATTCTCATAATTTACCTAGGTTTCTTCCTGAGTGAAAGAAGCATACATTCCATAGCCTGTAGACGTTATAAACCGTTTCTCTCTTCGCCGTTTCTTCGTTTGCTTTTTTCATCGTAATTTTTTGATTTTTTTGCTATGAATTTTGCAGACGATACGCGCTAGAAAGGTCTGGCGTTCGTTAACGTACGCTTTAATCGAGAAGGGCAACTGAGTTAGTGTGTAGTAACTCAATTCTACATGCAAAACGCACGTCGATAATTTGCGAATATACTACAAAGTTTACGCTTCAGCAAGTTAGTTAAATAGTTTGTTTTCGTTCCTACGCGGAACGTTCTTTTCGAAAAAACCGAGTGAAATCGCTCCATTAAATCATTCATGGAAATATTCATGCTTTATGATTCACAAAAATATTGCGAAAAATGTTTTATTTGCTGAAAATCTACGAAAAAATGTCACTCCACATTTCGTGAAAAGGATTGCAAGCTAAAAAGTAACATAATTGTGCCTGTATATCACGAAAAATTTACTTTTGTAGCTTGTAAAGCTTTCATGTAGATGTTAAGAAAATTTTTATCTGCAATATAGATTGTGTGTCTGCGGGACGTGTTGAACATTCTGCGTGATAAGACATATCGCGGAGGAGTAATTTACAAGAAGATGAAGTTACTATCATGGGGGAGACGATAGTGAACTAGGTTGTTGACGTAGTTTAAGCAATAGTCTATGGTAGAAGCTGTCCGAACCAGGATGTGTTAGTGAACCAGGCGATCAAGTTTACGCAGCACCAAAATCTCACTTGTCGAACAGATTACCACATGATTGCCTCGTGACTTTAATGTGTCATCGATTTTGCGATTTCAAACGTTTTATTGTTTTATAATATAAGATATTAGTATTACAGAAATATGTACAAATATTAATTTTTTTTGCTCTTCAGCGGAGGAAATTTTAAAATCTCTCTCTGGTTTTAACATTATCAGCTTCTCAATTGAAATAATCGTAATTCTATAGAAAATTAGTTACGAGTATTGCTAAGAAAAAAAGTAGAAAAATATTCCTTGGAAGCATCTTTATCGAATAATGCAGGTTATAAAATCCAGTGTGTGAGAAATATATATTATATTATAATACATTAGAGAAACCGTGCGTTAAAACGTAACATAATTTAATTTTCTATTGCAAAAGAGAGAGCTAAACATCTTACCGGTGTTGTTAACGGGATGTCCGCCCCTCACCGGCCAGCCGACGGACGTGCTCGCTTTGGACGAGAAGCTGAAGTAGGCCAGGAACTGGGACCGAGTCGTGTTCTCGTTTATTCTGAAACACGCGCGTTTACGTATATGTAAGTGTGCTGCAACTCATAGTACGCGCACCGGATTTTATTCGCTACGACAATAAAAGAAAATATTAGCGTGATAAATTACTACGGGTCACCTACGTCGGAGCTGTATGCGCCTTCTGCATGCCTCGTCTACCGTCTACTACCTATGCTGGTCACGGTATTTATGACGAGATCTTGGCTCACGGCAGGCAAATTTACGGATTCTTTCAAAGTGATATATAGCAAATAACCACGGGACCCGATGTAGTCGCGCGATTTATCGCGGCCTGTTCTTGCCATCATTTTGCATACGGCTCGTAAATCATTGATGTACGCTTTTATTGACGGGCCGGACTTGCTTTACGAGCCGGACATCACGCCGTTTTTACCGATATAATCCGTCAGTAAAAAGGCCTTTCAAACGAGCTTCAAGAAATTCGGCAGATATATAATTCACGATGAGTAACGATGGTATAACCATGGATATAACCATTTGTCAGCTATTATAAATCGATAATCGCTTATTTACTTATATCTCGTACCGCAATATGCAAATGACAGATTTAATAACATATTGTAATAGCTTGTCCAGTCACTATTGTATAATTATGTGTATGTTATCATGTTTAAAATTTTTTAAATTATTTTTACGAAAAGAAATATTCATTGTATTGATTTTCGTGCGTGATCATTAATTTTTTGATTTCGCAAAAAACATTCGATTGATACTAAATCGATCTTTGAGATAATGCAAAATCTTGCTGAGATATCTGCGTATTGAACTAGAGCGCATTTCAAATGCGCTCTAGTTCAATACGCCATACTAGTGTCAATATGTCATTGCACAAAGTGCGAAACACTTGCTAACAACTCGGACACGCGAAAGTTTCGTTGTCGCAAACGGCTATAAGTCTCGAAACTTTTTCTTGTAGATGACAGGAAAGTTATATATTTCGCGAGAACTCGCCCCCTCAATGAAGGAACATCAGCGCGATGTTTTCTCGAGATTGATCAAATGTCCATCGAGAACCGAGGGTATCGTTTGTCGCACTTGAAAACTATTTAGAAAGCTGACAGAGTGTATCGAATATCCAAACTTTGGATAGTTGTTGCAAAGAAATTCCGAGCCTTGTGAGAAACTTCGCGCATGTCAATTCGCCTATAATAGTATGATCAGGAATTGCGATGGATACTTATACTTAATCGTCTAAGATTATTTAAAAAATTAAATCATACAAAATACAATTGTCGGATTGTATGTGTAAAATTAATTATTAAACACATATCTAAAACAAACTTTAATCGCGAGAAAAAATAATTTTCTTATTTTTTTTTTTTAATATTTTTGTTCACCTATGTATAAATAAATTTAGCAGTTTATCCTGCTAGTATTATTAAAGATCTCTCGAGTAGTTTATGCATATTCTTTAATTTCCTATTCTTAGAAGATTATGCTTAACGAACCACCGTCGCAACACTTGAAAAATCGTGTCCGTTGTCAAAGTACAATCAATTTACCGCCTCAGGATCAATTTTGCGGACCGAAGATCACGGTGAATGTAAGTCAGAAATTGGCGCGGAGAAGCTGAGAAAACTTTATTTTAGCGGGGAGGGTGCCATCGCGGCAGAAGACGCCTCTAATTCGATTATTTAGTTAGGTCAGGTTGACTGTAGTCGAATTATATAGCGTCAGCTGGGACCAAAGATTATTCGGAGCACTCGTGACTCTCCTAATTGTATTTACTTACTATAAATCTCCTACCTTCATCAACCGCGTGTTTGATTAGCTGCCAATTCGGCGGTCACCTCCCCCCCCCCCCCCCCAGTTTCGCGGTGCGTTCCGAAACTTGCGCCATCTCCGGCTACTAATAATGTCACCAGTACTTACGGTAATTTACGGATTAATGGGAACGCTTGAACTTACACTGAGTTTCAGCCACTTCTCAAAGATCGATTGGGGTCTATCGCTCGATGTTATATGCGGTTTATATGGACTTTCATACGTTCAAAATCGGAATGTTCCATTAGACGATCCCAAGCTACCCTGAAGGGTTTTTATTGACCTTCGTATATTTTATAAGCACATGTAAGTTGAAATATCAATGTGCATTATGTAATACGGGCTTATCATAACTGTATTGGCATTAATAATCTCGCTTAGATTCCGTTAGATAATATAAAAGATTCATTATGATAAATATTATTATAATCAACAATTTAGAAACTGTATCTCTTTATGTGCTTTGCCTAGTATATCTATATATGCGCGCGTACTAATACAAGGCATGCACTTTGCGGGGGACTCTGTAAAATGTTATATCGATCGCGGTAGGACGGGGATTGCCTCTCAAAGAAAGCTGAGGTTAAGCAAATCCTCGGCACGATGAAAGAAGATGGCCGTAATCCCAGCGGGGGTTTACGAAGATTAGGATGCAAATTTTGGAAAGCATTAGACGAAAGCGTTCGGCGGCGTTTCCTTGGCGAAAGCAAAATCCTTTTCGGCATCTATCAGGGACGTTAAACCGATTCAGTATGCCATTAAAGTAGGTTTATTCGCCGTGGACGGCAAGTCGATGGCCACGTTATGGCGAAACCGCGCGTAAATTTCTACGCAGATGCCAGCGAGAACCATGAGATGGAACTTATAAAGTTCCATGAAGCGAAATGCGAAGCGTGCCTTCGAGGGTTTCACGAGCACGGAATCACAATTTGTTCGCGACTCGGAGGAAAATTTCCGTCCCCCGGCTGAAAAATACAGAAGAATTTTACCGTACGCAGGGATTTTAATCGTAGACGATAAACTTTACTGCGCATATTATGAAATGGCTGTTGTCAAAGAAACGTCATATGTCTTACAACAAAGCCCTGGGCTGTCTTTGTAATTTCCTAAACAAAGCTATGAAATTACGCAATTTTTATTTTTTTAATATTATAATTATATTGATTATAATATTATTTTAAATACTCTAAACGTGCAATATGTGTTTTGTAATTATCAAGGCTCAATTAAAACATTTACTGAATGTTTGTAGCTAAATCATAATTTTATTATTTTTGTTATATTATATTAAGTTTATTCAAGCACGTTAGCTCATCTACTCGAGAATTCTTTGTTATCGCAAAGATCTTACATTTTAAAATGCCGCGGAAATACGAAAATACGAGAAAAACTCGGTGATGGCATGGAGATTAAAATGTAAATTTTTGCAGCTTATTGTCAGTAATAATTTCCGAGAAAATCGAGGAACACTTTTCACTCATAATTTTCCAAACATTAATTTTCATTAATAAAATAGAATAAAATAAAATCTGCGCTGCCCGAAATTCATATGCGCTGCATTATTGCGATATACTATTACTCTAGAATCTAGAAAGTATATGCAAAGAAAAAAAGTTTACGGAAACGCGCGCGTTTACTAGGCAACGCTTAATGAAGGTTAGATGCACTTCCGTCTGCAACAAAAAGTTGACAAAGGAGTCACTGGGCCCTTAACTCTGTGCAGAAAGAAAATAGAAAGCTTTTTATTCGTAAATAAAAGAGAACGAAGAAGGTAAAAATATAGTGCGGTTGAGAAATGGACTTTCGTCTTTTGCAATATAAACCTATGCACGAAGTCAGTGAGAAAAGTAGAGAAACAGAAAATAGACTCGCTGCTCTCGAACAATAATGAAACACGTTGATATTGGGATTTGTACTTTTATGAATCAATGTATGCTTTTATTATGTTACGTCGCAAGAAGTCGCATTAAGCAGAAACGTCTTGCTTTACGACGATATTGGACGCGATAACTATTTTTATGCTTTAAAATCGAAGTTCAATCACATCGTCGTGAAAACTTTCATGACAAATATATTTTTGATAATTTTCTTCAAAATTAATATTTGAATATTTCCATATTAAATTACCCGAAATAGCTATCTGCTGGCTAATAGCAAAGTCTGAAACTTATAAAGTATATTTTTCACGCTTATATAGTCGTTCGTTTGAAAGAGTTCGACCGCTGTCGTTGCAAACGTGTGGATTTGTCCAACAGACTCGACGTTCTTTTACTCGGAGAACAAAATTAAGAAGGAGTCGGGACGCGGTCGGGTCCAGTAAAAGGTTTGCCAGTTCGTTACTGTAACGAACTTCTTCCCACGATCTGATCCGAATTCCGATCATGTTGGAAACCTTCGAAAATAAACTTTTCACAGGCCATCGTATTTGCACTGCTCTGGGAATCTATAATGTCATCCAAAAAAAAAAAAAAACGATATTGCAAACAGAAAATTCGCTTAAATTATGTGTATGATAAAATAGATGATATTTGTGATAATTAAAAAATTATATCAACAGCATTGAATTGAATTCTTGTTTTCGAAATGCAATTCCGAGTAAGTTGCAGGAAACAATGAATATGTAATATAGAAAAATAATATAAAAATAATACAGTTACGATAATAAGTATAAGGAAAATATAAAATAACGTGCGAGAAAATAAATTGTAGATATATGATGCATAAGAAGAACAATTTGTAAGTATATCATGGGCAACTATTATGATTAAATTCTCTCCCCAACGCAGTGCACAGTTCGGTGAACCGTGCACGAATCGGCCAACCTTTCGTTCATCCGCTTATTGATTCCATTTGCGTTAATAATCCTTTCCCGGCGCACCAAATTAGCCGATTATTATATTTAATTTTTAAAGCTTATTATCTTGATAATTGGCCCACTAAAATTCATTTTATTTGAAATATAATGCATTTTGTATCGGAACTTTTGCGCGTATAATCATGATCTAAACGATCGGCGCGCAAAAACACTTAACTTGAAGCACGCAACTTGAAAATTTTCAACACGCTATCATGTGATGATCCGCCGTGGCATTTATCATGAATTTCGGCTGCCATTGCATTGTCGATACATTCGAGTTGCCAGAAATATGCTGCGCAATTAAAGCAAATTACAAAATATAGTTTCATAACCGTCCTCGTGTACGCGTAATTAAAAGA